ATGTAATGTTGTGTTTTTAATGAGAAATATTATTTTATCATGAAAAGCAAATTTTTGAAAGAAATATTCTGGTATTGATGATAATTTCAATGGATATTTGAAATTATTATGTGAAAATAATTTTTATGAGGAAATAAGGGTGGCATTTCAAGGAGAGGTGTACCATGGGATAAGAGTGACATATCAAGGAGAGGTGTACCATGAAATAAGGGTGGCATATCAAGGAGAGGTGTACATTTGGATATAAGGGTGGCATTTGTATGTGTGTTATATGATATAACTCATTCTATTATATCCTTTAAGATTACCATGGTCTGAAGTATTTATTTCTTTGTGACTTAAATAATTAGGATCAAGGTTCTTATTGGAAATCATAGTTTGGATGTTATTGAGGAGAAAATGTTAGGTTTGGGCTGAAGCTTTGAAATAACCTTGTTGATTAGAAAAAGTTTAAAAGTGACATTATGTGGAACCTGATTGGTTCAGAGTTGTGAGATTTGAATAAGCAKAATGCTTTGCTTGAAAAATGGAAAAGATCTGGTATTAAGTTTCTATTTATTTCATATATTTGTTATATATATGAAATGATATTTCTCCCTAAAGGTTTTGGTGATTTTTCACCTTGCAATAACATAAATAGGATATCTCACTAGACCTTTCGGTCTAACCCTTGTTTTGTGATTTTAACTATGTGTTGCAGGAGGTTCAGACAGTAAGAGGAATGGGAAGGTGTAATATTTTCCTTTATACGCTTCTGCTTGAAGATCTGTTTTGACTGATTAGTACAAGAAATGTATTTCGAAATTTTGGACCTTATAATTGGTCATGTTAGATTCTTGTACTAAGGAACATGAATGAGATAATAATATGTATTTCATTTGTATGAAATATGTATTACATGTAATATGTGGGTTGGGGCATTACAAAAAAAAATATATATCAATGTTAATGTCAAATCAATTATTTAAAAGTTTTCATTTTTTATGTAATTTCTTTAATTTATTTTTTTATTATAATTTAATTTAAGTTTAATAATGAAATAATTTATTTTTGGTTTAATAATATAACATTTTATAAAGATAA